ATCCAGTCAAGTTGCTCTGGTGAAGGCAACCCAAAAGGACAATGCTACAATCGGGTCAAGTACATACCAAATATAGTTATGGGTTAGACACCTAATCCAACAAGTTATGTAATCATATTTGGGATAAATATAGCCTGGTCAACTATATTTATGCGAGATATGAGTAACATGTGTTTGAGAATGGTCGTGGTGAACAACGAGTCTAAAACTTACCAACACCCCATACAAGGAAACTCTAGAACCGGACATAAAGTTTAAAATACTATAGGAGTATTTTATGATACTATAGAACCATACAACTAGACTCTTCATGTGTCTTTATACCGTTATTCTTGCGCAGTCGACATAACCAAACATATAGTTAAGACACTCTGTTTAGATAATACTCGATTCATGACCATTATCAAAGACTTATCATCATTCCAATTTTAAACTTTATGGTAGAAGTATGCCACCACGCAAATCTATCAGGCGTGTCAACAACACACCACCAACTCCACCACCGCCACCACATCCACAGATGGACACTGCCATTTTCCAAGCTGCTGTGGCAGCCGCCATGGCACAAATGAGCACAAATGGTACCAGTGGGACGGGAGGCAGTACCAATAATACTAACCAGGGAGATAGCCAGGGACACCCAATGGAATGCTCCTATAAAGACTTTACTAATGGCAAACCCAAATCCTTTAATGGAAGCGGAGGTGTCATTGCTTTGACACGATGGTTCGAAAAGACAAAATTAGTGTTCGAGATTTGTGCATGCCCAGAGGGAAGCAAAGTAAAATTTGCGGCCCGCACTCTCGCTGACATGACCCTTTCCTGGTGCAATGGCCATGATAAATCACTAACCCTCCCGGTAGCTAACTCGATGAGCTGGGAGGACTTGAAGATCCTGATGCTGGACGAATATTGCCCGAGGGGCGAAGTACAAATGTTGGAACAGGAGCTTTGGAACCTCACCATGATAGGCTCTGACATTGCAGCCTATACTGCCAGATTTAGCGATCTAGCAGTACTATGCCCTGGGATGGTGACCCCGAAAAGTAAAAAGGTGGAGCGATACATCTAGGGACTATCCTCTCAAATTCAAGGAAATGTGATAGCTGCAAACCCGTCCACCTTTGACAGCGCCAAACTATTGGCACAAACACTTGTGGATCATGGAGTCCGCCAGGGCTTTATGACGGCCATTCCCGAACAAACCAAAGGGAGTGACAATAAGAGAAAGTTCTGGAACAAGAAAAAGGGCCAGCCAACATAAGAGCCCGCAAAGAAACAACTAACGGTGGCAGTCCACGCTGCTACTGTTCCTGCCGCTCCAGCACCCACCAAATAATATGCTGGAACTCTCCCAAAATGCAATAAGTGCAACTTTCATCACCATGGAGCCTGCCGAGATATGCACTGCAATAATTGCAACACGATGGGGCACACCGCCCGTTTTTGTAAGGCACCGGCACAACAAACCACCCAAGACGCTAATGTCGAGGCGAGCCATGCTTGCTACAGATGTGGTGAAACGGGGCATTTCAAGAGGGAGTGTCCAAAAGCAAGGAATGACAGAGGCGTGGGAAGGGTTTAAACAATGGGGCATGAGGAGGCCATGAATGATCCTATAGTGGTTACTGGTACGTTCCTCCTCAATAATTCATATGCATGCATACTTTTCGATAGTGGTGCGGAGAAACGTTTCGTGAGCCACAAGTTTAAAAACTTACTTAAACAAAATCCCCAATCACTAAATGACACATTCACCGTAGAAATGGCAAATGGAAAGGCAGAGAGCACTAACGATATATACATAGGATGTACCCTCACTCTAAACAACTATTCTTTCCAAATCGACCTAATGCCGGTCACAATAAAAAGTTTTTGACGTTATCATTTGCATGGATTGGTTAAGTCCTCACCATGCTGATATCCTGTGTTACGAAAAGTCCGTTCGCCTTAACCTGCCAAGTAAAAACCGTCATCAATATATGGGAACAAACCTGGCACAAACCTTCGAATCATCTCTTGCATCAAGGCTCAAAAGTATCTATGCAAAGAATAATATGCCTTCTTGGATGAGAAACAAGAAGTGAAAGACATCAAGAATATTCCCGAAGTCTGTAACTTCCCCGACATATTTCCTGAAGACCTCCCAGGAGTACCACCCGAACGCCAAGTCGAGTTCAGAATCGACCTGATTCCTGGAGCCACCCCCGCAGCCAAATCCCCATACCGTTTAGCACCGGTAGAAATGCAGGAATTGTCCAGTCAACTCAACGAACTGCTAAGCAAAGGATTCATCAGACCAAGCTTCTCACCTTGGGGAGCACCGGTCCTGTTCGTGAAGAAGAAGGATGGATCATTCCGCATGTGCATAGACTACCGGGAACTAAATAAACTCACCATCAAAAATCGATATCCTTTACCTCGAATCGATGACCTCTTCGACCAGCTACAAGGATCAAGTTACTTCTCAAAGATCGATCTAAGATCCGGGTACCATCAGCTATGAGTCCATGAGAAAGATGTTCCCAAGACCACATTCAGAACTCGCTATGGTCACTATGAATTCGTAGTAATGCCCTTCGGATTAACAAATGCACCCGCGGTGTTCATGGACCTGATGAACCGTGTATGCCGACCTTACATAGAAAAATTTGTGATAGTATTCATCGATGACATACTATTCTACTCACGAAGTAAGGAAGAACACAGTCAGCACCTACGACAAGTCTTGGAAACATTAAGGGCGGAGAAGTTGTATGCGAAGTTCTCGAAATGCAAATTCTGGATTCGAAAGGTGGATTTCCTAGGTCACGTGGTCAGCGAGGAAGGGATACACGTGGATCCCTCCAAAATAAAGGCAATCGAAAACTGGGCGATACCAAGAACACCAACTGAAATTCGTATATTTTTAGGCCTCGCTGGCTACTACAGAAGGTTCATACAAAACTTCTCCAAGATCGCAAAGCCACTCACCACCTTGAATCAGAAGGGTGTAACCTTCAACTGGGAGGAGAAACAAGAAACTGTGTTCCAAACACTAAAGCAAGCCCTATGCAACGCCCCGATCTTGTCCCTTCCAAAAGGGACAGAAGATTTTGTGGTTTACTGTGATGCGTCCAAGCAAGGGCTAGGCTGTGTACTCATGCAACGAGGAAAGGTCATTGTCTACGCCTCAAGACAACTTAAGAATCACGAGGTCAAATACAACACACATGACCTCGAACTGGGAGCAGTAGTATTTGCTCTGAAGATCTGGAGACACTACCTTTATGGTATGAAGTGCACAATCTTCATGGACCATAAGTGTCTCCAGCACATCTTCGACCAAAAGGAACTCAACATGAGGTAATGACGATGGGTAGAGTTACTAAATGACTACGAATTCGAGATTCGCTATCATCCAAGCAATGCCAACGTAGTAGCAGATTCCCTCAGTCGAAAGGAATACTTGGGCCGCCGAGTAAAATCATTAACCATGACCATCCATTCACACCTGTCCACATAGATCAAGGAGGCGCAACTTGAAGCTTTGAAACCGGAGAACATCACAGGTGAAGCCTTGCGGGGAATGGATAAAAACCTTGAAGTCAAGGATGATGGAGCTCGTTACCTCATGGATCGAATCTAGACACCGAGATTCAGCGGGTACAGAGACATTGTCATGAACAAAGCTCACAAGACAAGATACTCTGTTCATCCCGGTTTAGACAAGATGTACCTGGACCTCAAGAAACTTTATTGGTGGCCAAACATGAAGGCAGAAATCGCTACCTATATGGGCAAGTGCCTGACTTGCGCCAAGGTCAAGGTAGAATACCAGAAGCCCTCAGGTTTACTACAACAACAAGATATACCCGAGTGGAAGTGGGAATGGTTAACCATGGATTTCATAA